TCCTCTGAGATCTGTAGCTGGTCTTTCCTGTCCCTGTTTGTCATGCGGTGACCTGAATTCATAGTAAATACAGAAATTGCAGTAACTTAGTGTGCAATGTACGAAGGCCATGTAGCAGGAGATTTTATAAAGTTAAAAAACTTAAGTGACTTTTCTAAGAGGCTGAAAAGTAGTGTACAAACGTGTGCTAAACACACTTAGGTGTGTTTAGTATAACTCCCGATGCCTCCAGAAGTAGAGGAATATTCGACTGAGAAGCACCCCTGCTTCATAGGACTGGCTTAACAGCCACAGCTATTTCTTCTGTTTAGAAATGTATTTCTTGTGAAATAGGAAACAAATCATCGTGGGGTTAGAAATTGGACTGACCTTGCAGGCCCTCTCGTGGACGAACGAGCCTCTGCAGAGGAAGGCCAGGAGGACAAGTGCACAGATTCCGTGGTAGTGATGACATCCAGAGCAGCAGCAGATTCTGTATTTAACAAGATCTGATTCATCTGTCCTCATCCAGGACGAAATGTAATTGCTCACAAACTGCATTTGCAGACCTGGGCTGTAGGAGCTGCTTGGTCAAACTGGCGGCTTCTCGCTAGCGAGTCCAATGGAGCCTTCAGGCTGTACGAGAATGATCTGACGTCTGCGGGCGCTAACAGGGCAGTGTCGGGGCAGGGTGGCCCCGCGCGCCATTCCCAGACTTCTCTGAAGACAAGAGCCCTTCATAAGCACCCAGTAGCTATTTGAGGCTACCAAATATAAACTTTATTACTTGTAAAGCAAAGCTCTTTTGTCTAGGAGGCAAAATACAAAAAAAAAAAAAAAAAAAAAAAGGAAAATCAATGAAATCAATGCCAGTAAACAATGAAACTAATGGGCATTTTTGCATTTTTTCTGTTTAATAAGCCTGCTTTGGGGCAAGTACTCCAGCTTAGCAATGCAATCAAGAACGCTGTCTGCCAAAATTAAAATAGCAAGATATAAATGGCACAGGAAAAACAGTGAAAGATTCAGGTAATTAATATGAAATTTATACTCTGATTTGCGTTCACAGTGAGGCAGAAAAGAAAAAAAAAAGCGTATAAACTCAACTTTCTTTTAAAGTTTTTAAAATTATATTGAAGAATAAATATAATCTAAGTCTATTTAATTTCATTAAAATACTGCTGTGTATTTGGTATATATTTGTTCAAAAATGAACTGTACAGATGTTTCACCTATTTCTGGATTTCTCCTAATGCATCTGAAGCTGCATTCTGCTAGATTTGTTTTAAAATACATTCCTGATTTCATTGGTGAGTTAAATGAATGGTATAGGAAATTTACTGATTATAAAAAGATCACCAGAATTATAGCTCAGAATTGTTGTCTTATATTTTTACAGATATTTGAAAAACCTAGCAGGAAATCATGTAAACTAAGGTTATATAGAGGTTAGCAATCTAACATTTTCATTACACTTTCAGGCCTCAGCAAGAGTATTGTTATTCAAGATTTCCTGAAAATTAGCCTTATATCTCATCTTCTGTATAGTGAAAAGAAAAATCATGTTTTGATTAGGAAAAGCAGAGGTGGGCAGTGAGGTTGGATAGCAGCAATGCTGTGAGACCTGCTGTGTGATACCTCCGTGAGGTGCTCACACCATTACTCTGCCTTGGTACTTGGTGTCAAGTGGAAAATCTGGTGAGACAGAAGAGCTTCTTGTGGTGTGTCTGTGTTTTGAAGCTTGCCAGTAAAGAGTCTTTTCACCAGAATCGCACACAGACGGGATCCTTGCTCGATGCTATGGAGAGCACTTGCTCGGTATCATGCAGCAGGTTTCACCACTTCCTCTTCCCCATGTTCCCCCGTAAGGCCAGTCTGTCTCACAGGGTATGAAGTTGTTCAAATTAGACCAACTCCCTGGAACGTTACTGCTGTCTTTTCAGCAAGATACTTAAGAACAGAATTCAGGTTTCATTATATGCATACAAATGCTCCCTAAGCCTGTAATGGTTCACCCCGTTAATTTAATGTATTTTTGGTCCCTTCATGCCACAATAGTTCTCAGCCTCCTTTCCAAGCAGCTAGAAATTTGTCCCAGTAAATTAGGCCAAAGAAGATGCGTCAGGAACAGGAGCCCGGGGCAGAGCAGGACGCAGGAAGCGGCTGCCGGCGGGGGGGCCCCTGCCACAGAAGTGACCTGAGGAGGGAGCAGGTTTCAGCAGCTGCTCGTCCTGATGGAGCTGGGCCAGAGGGGCCTGCGCGCTGCCCTTTGCCGGGAGCATTCGATATTGTGACCGTAGCTGCTCCAGCGGCTCTCGGGAGGGGAAGAGCCCCCGGTGCCGGTGGAGCCTGCTGTGCTCCGCTGCGGTTCCTGCAAGTGCCTCCATGTAGAGCAGAGGGTCCCTCTGCAGACACCGCTGCTGCCTGTAATGTGGGGAATTGGGTCATCTGTAGGGAGAGCTGGATGCGAGAGACCCATCCCCTAAAGCGCAGAGCTCCTAGGCAAGGATCCCTAAAGGATTCGCTCTGCATGGAAGGGAGAAGCAGCTGCCCCTGGGGTACGAGGTGACCGTGGAGAACAAGGGTTTTCTGGTTCCCCTTCGCAGAAACTGCAAGCAAACAAGGCGGACCCTGCCCATACGTGGGATTTGGCATTTGTGCCTGGCAGACGCCTGTCAGCCGGAAGAGCCACCGTAGAACATGACGTCCCGGGATGGCATCAGGTCCTGGATATATAACGGGACAGGGCAAGGAAGTGGGAGGATGAAGGGGAGCGCTGTTTCGGCGGCTCCTTGGGGGCCTTGTGCGGCCCAGGCTCCCGCGCGGGGAGCGCTGCGGCTCGGCTGCCGCGGCAGCGGGGCCTCCTCCGCGCCTGTTTGTTCTCATGGAAGATTTTGTTTGTTTCTTTTCTCAGCTTGTTTGGAGATGAGTCACCTGGTTTCGAACCGTCGAAGCGGGTTGCTTGAGGAACTGAGAGGCACCGCGCTTGTTTCAGAGGCACCGCGGAGAGCGATGGTGAGCAGGAGAGGAGGAAGAGGCTCTGAGTCACGGTGCTCTCGGCGTCGCTCAGCCTGCTGCAGCACGCAAGCACATGCCATCCCTCAGATAAAACTCATTTTCCTCTGGAAAATTAGAGCGCCATATTCCTCCTGGCTAGATTTGCTTTTTCCTTTGCCCTCTGAACAAGCAGCACAGAGGGTGAAGGATCCATAAAATACAGGATAATTGAAGAATATTGTTTTCCTCCCTGCTGTGTCACTGCTGTCCCTTGTGAAATCTAGATTTTACCTAACTTTCGTGTAGACTAGAGTTTTGGTAATGTGTTTGCGAGAGGAAACGTACTGCTGTGTCAACTGTCCTGCCTTGCTGGGTTGACAGAAAACCCGCTTACAGAGCCAGGAAACTCAAACCACGTTACAGCCTGTGTAGCCCATACAGAAAGTCTGTCACAGAACCGGGAAACGGGCACAGCACTCCTCTGGCGATGCATTTATCATGGGCACATCTGTTTTTTTTTTTTCTTTCTTTTTCCCCACCCCATTCTTTGCTTTTGAAATACAGACAGGAAAATGCGAGATTCTGCAGTTTTTCTTGGAATTGAATCATGTAGATTATTGAATGGTATTTACTAATAGATTTTAGAAATCTTCCTCTTAAAGTTAAGTCTTACTTAATGTGTCTTAATTAAGATAGATTTTCATCTGTTCAGGAACTAATTTGGTTGTTCCTTCTGTTTATATCACATAGGGTTGCTATTTAGGGAGATGGGTAGAAAGTAGTGCTGTGGTTTAGGAGTGGGACGCGTCTTGGTGCTAACTCTTTGTCAAAAACCTGCATTCAGGTTACGTTCATGTAACATTTTAAACTTTAAAGTTTGATCAAGCTGTGCTTTGTAAGGGAATTGCTTGTACTGGGTACAGTAAAACGCAACACAAAATACCGGTCCTTTCTGCAGGGAGCTGAAAAGCAGAGCAGTGTCGGCGGTGCCGAGCATCACTCACTGGGACCCTCTTTGCCCCGGCTTGCCAGCCTGTGTTTTGGCACGTTACCAGAGAGATCCTCCATCTCAAACAGCATTTTCAGATGGAAGGAAATGGAAGGGCAGAAAGCCATAGAAAATAGCAGCGATCCTGTTTGGACGATCCTATCACTAATCACAGCCACCCTGCCCATCGCTGTGCAAATTTTCAACCCGTTTCTCAGCAATGCCTCTACATATAATCATTTTGTTTTCAGACTACTAAGATTATAACAGAGGTGCGACATGGGGTGGTCTGGCCCGTGGTGCAGGGGAAATACCCTGGCAGAGATGCAGGAAAGGGGGCTGCAGAGGAAGGTGTCGACTCTTGCTAGTGCCATGGATTAACTGTCTCTGTTTCCATTTCATGTCTTTTCCTCCGTCCTCTAAAGCTGGTGGCCACAGGGAACTGAATTCATTAAACATACTCTTCATTTCAGAGCAAGACCTTCTTGCACGTGATGAAGGACGTGCCTCGGCATCCCGTAAGTACCTGCAGCCCGAGCCCTGCGCGTTACGTGGCAGCGAAACGCGCGCTCGGGCCCTGGGGCACCGAGGAGCTGCGGGGTCCTCCTGAGGTCCCCATCGGCCTCCGTGGGCTGCAGGGAAGACTGCCTCGGGGTCTGGTCCCGCTGCCCCTGCGTCTTCCTGGCGTGGTGAGACAGGGTTGTTTGGCATGGGGCCGTTTACAGAAAAGGAGCGATTTTGATAAAATCTCCACTATTAAAAAAAGAGCTTTGACATTGCCAATACTGAAACAAAAAATGACTGTTTCAGTATGGGCCAGAACAACTTTCATGATTTAAAGCAGCGCTTGCTTCAAGAAATGCAAACAACTGGCTCAGAATTCAAGAGGCTTTGCTGAGACACAGGTGGGCCAAGCAGCAAGAGGCCGGCGCTGCATTAGCGCACGGTCCCGCGCGCTCGGGGCAGGTTCTGCAGAGCAGCCCGGGGGGCGTTTCCAGGGATCGGCCTCGGCCTCGAGCAATGCCGTGAGGGCAGCATGGTGCCGTGGGCGCGCTCCGGCCCGTACCGTGAGCGATGCCGCGAGGCCAGCATGGTGCAGCAGGCACGCTCCAGCCCGTACCGTGAGCGATGCTGTGAAGCTCGCACGCTCTGGCCCGCACTGCGAGCGATGCCGCGAGGGCAGCATGGTGCCGCAGGCGCGCTCCGGCCAGCACTGCCAGCCATGCTGTGAAGCTGGCACACTCAGGCCCGCACCGCGAGCGATGCCGCAAGGGCAGCGCCGCGAGCGATGCTGCGGCACAGAGGTGCTGCCCACGCTCGGCAGGAAGTGCAGGGCCCCGCGGCGTCCTGCACACGGAGGAAGTGGGGAGGAATAGGCGGAGTGTGTCAGAAACACGATTAGAATCAGCGACTGAAAATTGTAAGCTAAGAGAATTGTCAGGATCTCAGTTTTGCTGATCTTTAACTTGAGATCCATCGCTCATGCTCGTACCTTTACTGACCCTCGCCCTGGGCTGTGGTCCTGATGTGAGGTGCACTACTACTCTGTGGTCCAAAAATGGACCTACCTCCAGTTTCCTTTTTGTGAACCAGAAGGAAATTTCTGGCCATAGGCGGTTGCCCAGTCAAACACTCCTCTGTGGTGAGAGCAGCAGCAATGGTCAGCTTGGAGGTTCTTGTGTTACTTGGGTACTTAATACAGCAGCCAAACTGAACAGCAGGTGGGAGGATATCTGGAAGGAAAAAGCAAAAGAGCCAAAAATTTCAAAACGAATTTGAATGAATTCTCTCCAACTTGTTGGCTGCTGGCGCAGAAACCTTTCCAAGAGGGGAACCCAGCATAAAATCTGACTGTAAAGCAGCAGATCCCCCCGAGAGGAAGCTGTGCAGACCTGAGTGAGTTCCCTGGTCACTTTGCAATGACATTTTGTGCCATGGGGATGCCCCAGGCGCAGCTCAGGGCCGGGGTTGTGCTGCTGTGCACTCACCCCACGAGCTTGAGGGCTCACAGGGCAGGAAATGGGGCTCAGAGCGGCAGCCCAGGCTCTGTGCTGGTCCTGGGCCCCAACCCTCGTGTTTACTTTCTCTCTGCTCTAAGTAATTGCAGGTTATGTCCTAGCCTCTTGGTGCTGACGTGTGCCCTTCCCTCCCGCCGTCGTGCAGCACGGGCCGGGCAGCTCTTCCAGCTTGTCCTTCCGGACCGTGGCCCTCAGTTCTTGCTTCCCCGCGACTGGGAGCCACAAAAGGAAGGCAATACCCAGCACCAGCGCCGC